ACGTGGTGGGGATTCTGTTGAGCTTATTTTTTGGGGTCAACACAAACGATCAAAAATGGTGGCTGAATTTGGAGTACAACGGTCGAATAATGTATTCCTTTGGTAGAATAATGAGCTCCAAAAGGGAGTTAAATGAGAATTTTGCACCGTCCATCTCAAATAATATTCTGGGACGGTCCTCGATCTTTCATTATTGATAGGACCATTGGTCCCTGATGCACATAAATGGGAAATGGTGGGTGCGAGACCGAATAGGAAACACCTATTCCCCGCCCATTGTCCCATTTAGTGTCTCTTTATGGTTTTTTTCAAATGCAATCGGGCCAAAAACACAATTGATAATTGATATGGTCATTTTTTTATCGACCCCTAACAACGATGCTTGAAATTATTTTCAGTCATCGAGGGAGTTTATCCAAGGTGTCCTCCTTGAGTTTAATTGTCGCATGTGATGATTCCACGTCACCTTGAATTTTTCCATTTATCAATTTTTCTACCTCAAAAAACATACTTTAGTATGACTCTACTTCCATATTCAAACTTATCCAATTCCGATAAAGTTGAATCCCACTAAAAGATATTCTAATAGAACTTTAACACATTCTAAAACTCTAAAAAGGATAAGATATCTGATAATCTAACTCTAATAGGAGTGTATCACCTACTCTCTAAATATATGACCACAATTCATTATTCATATATGTTTTACATTCAATTTATAGTCTTACGCATATATTTTCCCATTTCACTAACTTAAGTATCGGATGGACAACGAGGACACACCTTGAAGCCTTTGTTTCAGGTACCGAAAATTTCGTTCCTGATCATCCTCAATCGTTACGATCGAGATTCATCATTTTAATTAGGAAAGAGCATTGAGAAATTAGGAATCAATCCATTTTAATTTCTTTAATATATTGAACTGGGTCAAGAGACAATAAGGGTCTGTTTGATATGCCATTATTTTTCGTGGAATATGAAAAACAAATTTCTATTTTTATTTTTGCCTTGTTTGATACATTTTTTTTCCATGGAAAATTTTTTCTTGATTTGGCCCACATAATCACATTTTCCTTGATTTTGTGGAAAATCAATTTCCACCAATTTGGTGGAAATTGATTTTTCAGTTTTTTTGGGCAATGGGGAAAAATTCTAGACACAATGGTAAACAAATTTATCACCTTTATTGACAATTTTCATGCAAAATAAAGTCAAACGAATGGTATTCGGTATGATAATTTTTTTGGCAATTGGAACAAATTCTAAACTCAATGTTAGAAAAAATTATCACTTTAATAGACAATTTTCATAAAAAAAATGAAGTCAAACGGACACTAAACTTTCAACAGGTGGAAAATTATACAAATCAAATACAATTCACAGTGAACAATTTTTAGGCAATTCAATTCCCTGTAAAACATTTTCTTTCAACCAATTTTTCACATTTGCAATCAAACGGACCCTAACATTTTAATTTAAAATATTTAGCCTATCTTTGGTAGGGACGCTTTTAAAATGGATGAAGGCGATGCAACCAACTGAAAAGTTGTCGATTAAGATTGTACAAGTGGCATGATTCTTCTTGGATAATGAGCTTTTCAAATTAATAAATTTGGCAAATTAATTATTAATTCTAATTTCCATAGAACTTGCATTAATCATATCAATGTTTATCACAGCTCCAACCATTTAACAATTTTTTTCTCTGGAAGCAACCTTCTAACATTTCCTTTATGAGATTTACCATTTTGAATCCTTTATAAAGCAATTATTTTGAGAAATTTATCTGACAGTTTTATTTCTGTTGATTATAAAAATCGACTTGGCAAGTCTAATTTAAGGGAAATTAAATGGAGTAATTGTTGAAATATCATAAGAAAATTTTCATTAAGAATGTTTTTATAATATTTTACAAGGAACCGATTGAGCTCGGCCTTCTATAGAAGACCATTATACCTACTAATAGCCACGATAATCAGAGTACGACACCCTTTTTCACGTCATGCAACATGTTTCTATTTCGATTTGTTTGTCATCTCTTCGTTTGAAGGTTTCAATGGCTATTGAGTTCGTCCGTTCGTGTCATCATTTTTCCTAAGACAAAGTTTTGTAGTCTTTATTGGGCAATCACTATCTTTGCCTATTGGTGGATGATACTCAAGAGACGTCATTTGTCTTACATTATCAATAAACTCTTTTTTGAGTCGAGTGAGTTCATGGTTATATTTTAAGGTTAAACCCTAACAACGTTCACATTAACAATTTTGTTGTGGGAAAATACTTCGTCCTTGTCAGTTCTAGTTTGGTTGGATAGTGATCTTATTTTTTATTTTCTTTACATGTTCTTAAGTTTAAACTGTATCTAAAAATAAATATATAAACTAAATGAGAAGATAAATGATTTTTTTTAATTCCTATTCGACTCTCGAACTTTGCATGGACAGGGACGACTGTCTTGAGCATGATC